CTCAAAAAAAGAAAAAAAAAGTGTAAAAAAAAAAAATAGAAAACCTAAGACAAGAGGATCGCTTGAGCCCAAGAGTTGGGGGTTGCTGTGATCTATGATGCCAGAGCACTCTACTCTGGGTGACAAAGTTTGAGACTCTGTCTCAAAAAAAAAAAAAAATTCTCAGAAAACACGTTTATCAGGCAGGGAATAATAGCACATAATGTACAAAGGGTCTGACAATTAAGCTCATGAACTCATTCTAGAAAAAGTGCTGCATACCTCATTGCTAAATATCACTATGGTCACCTTCAAAGTACTCTCCTTGGGAAGCTGTGCACTAATGCCAGCACCTAGTGCATCCTTCAAAGAAATTTCGGAACTCTTTGTCTGGATTGACCATCAAAACTGTTGTTGTATTATCCTTAATGTCCTGATGTTTTCAAAATGTCTTCTTTTAAATATTTCCTTTTTCTTTTGGTAAAGAAAAAAGTCACTGGGGGCCAGACCAGGTGAGTAGGGAGTCGATTACAGTTATTTATTTACTGGCTAAAAACTCCCTCAGAGACAGGGCCATGTGAGCTGATGCATTGTTGTGATGTAAGAACCATGAGTTGTTGGCCAAGATTTTCAGTTAACATTTCCCTGTCTCTCTAATGATGTTTACTTGGTCTGCTGTGTTTCTCACAGTCAGCTGATGATTCTGATGCACAGTCTCACCAGTGACTTCTGCTCATTCTTGGCTTTTTGACTCTCTTCAACAGTGATGCTTTCTCTCCCCTCAAAAAAATGTGTCATCCGCCTCAGTGCCCATAGCACAGTGGTCATGGCGCCAGCCACATGCACTGAGGGTGCCGGGTTTGAACCTGGCCCAGGCCAGCTAAGCAACAATGACAACTACAACAAAAAATGGTGAGGCGTTGTGGCAGGTGCCTGGAGTCCCAGCTAGTTGGGAGGCTGAGGCAAGAGAATTGCTTAAGCCCAGAGTTTGAGGTTGCTGTGAGGTGGGATGCCATGGCACTTTACCAAGGGTGACATAGTGAGACTCTGTCTCAAAAAAAAAAGTTTAATCCGTTTGTACACTGCTGTTTTCTTCATAGCATTGTCCCCATAAACTTGGACTAATTATGCCCCTGATTCCACTTCCAGTCTTGCCAAGTATAATAAGAAATTTAATTTTGGCTTGGCACCTGTACCTCAGTGGTGAGGGCACCAGCCACATACACCAGCGCTGGCAGGACCCGGCCCAGGCCTGCCAAACAGCAGTGACAACTGTAACAACAAAATAGCTGGGCATTGTGGCGAGTGCCTATAGTCCCACCTACTTGGGAGGCTGAGGCAAGAGAATCACTTAAGCCTAAGAGTTTGAGGTTGCTGTGAGCTGTGACACTACAGTACTCAAAAAAAAAGGAAATTTAATGTTTGTTTGTTGCTTTATAAGCTCTGACATTCTCAGGATGGCACACAAAAACACCCAACGACAACATGAATGCCACTCAGCAAGACATCACATTATTAACATGAACACAGCTGGGACACAGTCATATACCAAGGTTATAAAATCTCACCAAGATGTTTGTACAGGGCGGCCAATAGTGGTAAGTTTGAGAACTTAATTGTCAGAACTGTGTATAATCCTAGCACTTTGTGAGGCCAGAGAGGGAGGATCACTTGAGTCCCGGAGTTCAATACCAGCCTGAGCAAGAAGAAGACCCATATCTATGACAAATAGAAAAATTAGCCATATGTGGTGTGTTGTATGCTTGTAGTCCCAGCTACTTGGGAGGCAGAGGCAGGAAGATCACTTTTTTTTTTTTATACAGAGTCTTACTCTGTCACCTGGGTAGAGTACTGTGGCATCATAGCTCACAGCAACCTCAAACTCTTGGGCTCAAG